ATATAAGGTTGGGACTTCCCTCAGGTTCTAAGGAATTGATTCCCTGGGGTTCCATTCACAGTGCTCAACCATCCAGGCTCTGGGAGGCCACTGCCGTCATGATGGAAAATGGTCTGACTACTGTTCCAGCTGGAAGCAGACCTTGATCTCACCCACATGGTGCTGGTTTTACAGGCATATAAAATGCAAGAGTTTTAGGGTCATGCAGGCTTCCTTCAGATTTAAGAATGCCTGGAGGTCAGGTAATGTACCCTTTAGAGGGCCATGAGTGAAGCTGTGAGACTGAAGCCAAAAGTGCGTGGAGACCCCCAGGAAGCTGGAGAAGCCAGGCACCCAGAGCATGGCTAAGGGAAGCCATGGGTATGAGCAGGGCTTCCCCAAGATTGAAGCCACAAGGGCTCAACCAGCAGTGCCGTGCTGTGTGAAGCCCGCATGCTTGTCCCAGGAATGGGACAGGGAGCCACCGGATTTCCAGTTTCCCTTTGTGAGGTTCAAAGGCGCTTTGGTCCCATTGGTTTCTGCCCCTTTATTCCTCCCTTTTGGGGAATTACCCCACGCCATTGACTGTCAGTGGTGTCTAACTTCCACCTGACTTTTACAGGGACTCACAGCTAAGCTGTCCACAAGATTCAGAGTAGACTTGGACCTTGCAGCAATACTGGAACTGTAAAGACTTTGGTAGATCCTTCAAGGACAACCAAATGCACCTTGCAGAGACCTGAGGGCAGGGTGGAGGTGACAGGGTCTCAGGAGGCGCTGATCCAGCTTGGTTAGATGGCTCCACAGTGGTACTCCACCTAGCTGTGCAGGAGCAGAGCAGAGCTATCCCTGCAGCCTGTGGTCCCCACACCCCTTCCCTCCAGCACCTTCCAGGGACAGAGCAGATGTGAGCCATGTGATCAGCTTCCAGCTGCCTGGCCATTGACAGCCTCTCCATCCACCAAAGGAGACAAGAGCTTGTCTTTTCCTGGCGCATGCAGGTTAAGGCGCCTGTTCTGAAACAGAGGGAGCCAGAGAAGAAGGTTTCATGAGGAAACCGGGAAACAGTGTCTCTCATTTGACCCCACTTTGATCTTATCAAAAACACCAAATGTACTCAGGGAAACGAAAGAGGTCACTGAATCCTAAGTCAAACAAATGCAAGGACGGTCAAGAAAAGGCGAAATGTATAAAACATCGGGCAGAAGGAGAAGCACTGGGAAACGGACTGTTCTAAAAACTAACTGATAAAAGGAATCTGGGAAAGATCACAGATCTGGTAAAACTGCATTTTACTGATAGATGCTGGGCAATATTTTAATTTACTGTGACAGATATAAAAATCATGAATTCATTAAGAGAGTATATATATAAATTAACTCCTTGAATTTTCTGGTTGTTTTAATTAGCAAGATGTCATAGTAGCAGCTTCTACTTTTTAAAGGAGGTATTATAATGGGACCAAGCCCAGAACAGAATGGTGAAAGATATGCTAAACCACAAGGCTGAAGCCTGATTGATGCGTGAAAATCTGTGCATATTTAATGTATGCAACTCTCCGTGTCTCCAGATAAGTATTCAGCCAGGAAATCAGTATGCTAAAATATTTTCAGTATTAGGAAACATTTTCAAAGCGTCAGATGTAGCAAAACCCAATGTATTGTTCGAAAATGAAAATACAGATCTAATTTTAGCAGCTTTATTGAGATATAATCCACAAGCAACAAGCAATGCGTATTCAGGGTTTACAGCTTGAGGAGGGTGTGTCTGTCCAAAACTGTCAGCCCCAGCCACACTGAGGTACTGTGCACTCCTCCTCCCCTCCTCTCTCCCTGCAGGCATTTGAAAGCTTACTGTCTCAGCCTCCTGCTCAGGAAACCAGCATGTAGCTCCCAATCACCACTGACCCTGTTGCAGGACCCAGAATTACCCATAAGTGAGCCAAGATGCTGGATTCTCACACACGTCTGCCTCCTTCCCCACCCTGTAATTATTCTAATATCCATTCATATTTTAGGGGGAAATCATAGTCAATTCCCTTTCATTGTGAGTAATATTCTCTTGTGTGGATTTGATATTTGAACACGGATTGTAGGGGATAAATTCATCCTCATGAATGCTCTAACGAGAAAATACATGATTTGTGGTAACTGTTATCCCTCTTTCCTCCTTACCAAACTGATGGAATTTTCCTGTTACTACTTTGTAAGGAAATGCCATCTATGACTTTTTATCTTAGCTATTTTCTCATTGCTGGGATAAAATACTCAACATCCACAACTTAGAGAAGGAAAGGTTCATTCGGAATCAGAATTCAGTGGTTCCGATCCGTCGTGTGCCAGCTCCAGGCAGAACGGTTTGGCGGGGAAAAGCCATTCAGGCCAAGGAGAGGAGAGAAGGGAGGAGCCAGGAAGGAGATGAAACTTTCCAGGCCACACCCCTGTGACCTCTCTTCCAACCAGGCCCCACATCCTAACAGCAAGTCAGCTATAAGTCCCCCATCCCAACAATCCAGCACCCCAACATCTGTGAAGCCTTACCTGTGAGCACACAACATGTTGGCACACATTCTCACTCTGAACCCTGACAATTTGCTGTCCCGGCCCCAAGAGATCCACATGCCACATCCGGGACAGGAGCCTTCCTGTGAAGTAGTTACAATGGGGCCTTGGGAACCTGGGTTTGCCTCAGAGCAAGAACCGTGGCAGAGGGAAGAGCAATCTGCACTAACAGTCAAGGACGGGGCTGGACGCAGGGCTGGGGGATGAGCAAAGTGGCTTCCAGGTAGGGTGAAAGGACTCGAGCCATCATGCGTTCCAGACAGAGCCAGCGGTTCTGAGGAGGTGATACACATGTGCAGGGAGGCTGGGGCTGCGGCCACGAGCAGGAGACCCCCAGCCTTGCTGCAGGTGGTGCTAGGACCTCAGATTGCTGACCCCTTCAGAGTCTGTATCCCAGCAAAAGCCCCGCTCTGCCCATGATTGCCATAAACACTATACTGCATTTTGCTACCCAATGGGACTCAGGTCTTCATTCTCCCACCACACACCTGGGCCACTGACCTGTCCACATCCCATGGCTGCAGAGCTGGTGCACTGCCCTTGGGCACCTGCTTGGAGTCTCCTTCCCTCACCATTGTGGTAGCCGCCTGTCCCTGAGCAGGTGAGCACACCTGCTTTGAGTGGCTGCTGGAAGTCTCCCAGACAGGGCCACAGTAAGTAAGTTTGGGTTTGGGGACACTGCTGCCAAATAAGGGGCCTGGCTCTTGCTCCAGCATGAGCAGAGGTGAACAGCTGGGGTGATGCTGAGATCAAAGTTACAGGGTTGGACCTGGGGCCAAAGACAGCCCCGGGCCATGTGAGGGGAAGAGAACCCACTGCAGTGCACTGAAGAGTGTTTAAGAGCAGCACAGCACACGTTGAACCGTGTTCATGAAAGTAACTGTGGCTGTGAAAGCCAGCTTGTGCTCCAGGGTTGTGTTTAGCACACGCACATGTGCAGTGTTTGGACAGAGAGGAGCGCTGGGTGCGTACACTAGGGGCCGGTGGCAGGCGTTTCTTGTACGAGATTTGTGCTGCTCTCTACAGTCAGGAATGTGTTTGTCAAGGCAGTGTCAGCAGAAACTCAAAGCTATTTTTTTATTGAAATACTCATTGAGAAAACCACACCATCATGGCCGTGTAGCCCCACACATTCCAGGAACCACACAGATGTGACCACGCCCAGGTTGAGGGTGCTCTCTCCTGTTATCACCCCCACTCCACCCACTGTTTTTTAAAGCTGCCTCATGCCGCTGAGGACCCTGTGCTGGGTTAGGGGCGCTGCGTAGCTGGGCGCAAGGCGGCACGGACCCGAGGTCAACACCATCCGTGCTGCATGATGTCCACTGCAGGGCGTGGTCCTCGTGGATCTCACCCACCAGCCACTGACAGGCAGACACTGTGAACAGCCAACTCTGTGTGCTTCCTGCTGGATTTTTGTCTTGGGAGCAGAGAGCCAGCCTGGGCAGCCACCCCCACCCCAGAGCGTGGCCTAGTGGGAGCTCAGGCCTTACCTCTGACCTCCCAAGCCCCACCCGGCTGCTGGATCTGCCTTCTTCCCATGTCTTGTGCTCCCTGGGGCTGTGATGGTGTCTGACCATCATGGTGTGTGTTTCCTGCCCACCCCGCCTTGTGGGTAAAACCTTTCGTAATGTGACTCATAGAGTCTTTTTAAAAAAAAAAAAAAAAAACAGGTTTTCTCCTGGATTATTTTTCCCTTTCTGACTGGTTTGCAGGAGTTGTTTACATCTTCCAGATGTGCCCTTTGTGAAATACGCGTTTAATTGAAATATCTTTCTCTGATCCCTGGCTTCATTCTCTTATTGGTCTCTTTAGATGAATGGAGCTTATTAATTTTAATGTGGTTCAATTTATCATCTTTTACTGATGAGTGTTTTGGGGATCTTGTTTAAGAAATCTTTGCCTATTCAAGGTCACTGATAACGATATTCTCCTATGTTTCAAAGTGTACCGATTTACCTTTTGCATTTAGATATAGTAAGCATAAGAAATTAATATTTATATATAAAGTGAGATAGGGTCTCTATGCACCCGTGCATTTGTAAAGATCTTGATTTCAAAATATCAAAAAGTACTCTTAAAATTATAAATTAAAACACCCTTCTTCCCCAAAGCCAATAATCTGTCCACAAGTCCCAGCCCATGTAGTCAGCAGAGGGAGGGTCTCAGGTCTCACTTGCATGTGCTTGTGTCAAGATATGTGAACAGCTGTCCTGGGAGCTAGGGCTTTGTCTGCAACTCCCCCTCAGTCTATAGCAGAGAAAGGAGAGGCAGGATCCAGACCCCGCATCTCACCTGAGCCCAGCCCTGCCTCTAGACATCGATGCTCACAGCAGGGCCCAGGCCGCCCTGCAGTGCTGGGGCCCAAGCCCACTCCCTGGAGCAGCAGGCAGGCTCAGCCCAGCCGGGCGCCATAGCTCCTGGGCCTCCATCCTCCAATCAATAGGCACACAGCCAGGGGGTGGCTGAATTCAGTCTGATTTATTTTCCAAAACAGCTCCCAGTGACCAGACTGATTCCGCCGCAGTGGGTTGCGCCAGAGGCGGAGGCAGTCTCAGGACGGAATCATCCGGCTGGCCGGGTGTCTCTGTCATAAATAAATCCCTTGCAGGACTTGCAGCAGCACCACTTGCATCTGAATGAACTTCCCGGGCCTCTTCCCGAGACCAGAGCCCCTTTTGTGATTCAAGGGAAAAGGCATTCTCTGCAAGGGGCCCTTAGCACCACTGGCCTGAGGGCAGTGCCTGGGTTCCTGAGTCCTCCACCTCACAGGCCTGGGAGACAAGGACAGCCAGGAGGCTGGGATAGTCAGCATTTGCTGGGTGCAGGCTGAGAGCTGCCCAGCCAGCACCAGGGCTGCTGAGAGTCACCCACAAACCTGGCCGGGCTGGTGTGGGACCAGGCATGTTTTTCTCCACACACTGCATCACTTCTATCTGCAGAAAGTACCTTTGCTCTTCTCATGATGCTACCATTCTAAACAAACAAATGTATCACACCAGTCCAATCGATGCTTCCTGAAACCCACGACCATCAAAGTTATGGGAATGTATTTTATACATCTTCAATGTTTAGCCAAAAATCAATAAAAATCCATTATCTCATATTTCAACGGTGATGCACCAGAGAAATGGCAGAAATAAATCTCTCCAAAGGAAAAATTAAACTGTCTCCCACGATTACTAATTATTGATATTTACTTCTTACCATATTATGCTGGGTAGACAATTACTGGTAATTAAATGTGGACTGATCAGCCTCAAAGGAAAAGAAACGTTACCTGGTTAGAAGGAGGCTTCACATTCACGCTGACGACCCTTTTCTTGGATATTAAGATTTTAAGAAGCGGAGAGTTGCTCAGTGCTCTTCGTGGTTGCTTCTGGACATTGATTTAATTTTAAAATGTGTATCCAGGCAGCACCGTTAACTAATAGGGAACAAAGAAAAACAAAGTACTTACTGTAAAAACACTGCCAGACTCAGACAAAAAGCCAGGGCACAGGGAGCTGTGTAGCTGGTGGGGAATAAAACACCTGACAGGAGTGATTTAACACACCCAGGAGTCTGCGGTGAGCGGCAAGGCCAGTGCAGGAGGCTGGGGACAGACACGCATGGGTGTGAACACCTTCCACACAGCTTCCCCCAGGGGGCCAGGACCTCAGCCTGTTCACAGTCACAGTGCGAGTGACCCTCATGAGGCTGTTGTCCTGGCTGTAGGAGAAGCCTGGTGTGGCTGCTCCGCAGGTCAGCACTGTCCTCTTCTGCCCTGGCCACTCTGCAGGTCAGCACCATCCTCTTCCGTCCTGGCCACCCTGCAGGTCAGCACTGTCCTCTTCTGCCCTGGCCACTCTGCAGGTCAGCACTGTCCTCTTCTGCCCTGGCCACTCTGCAGGTCAGCACTGTCCTCTTCTGCCCTGGCCACTCTGCAGGTCAGCACTGTCCTCTTCTGCCCTGGCCACCCTGCAGGTCAGCACCGTCCTCTTCCGTCCTGGCCACCCTGCAGGTCAGCACTGTCCTCTTCTGTCCTAGCTGCTCTGTTGGACTTCAGCGACGTGGTCGTTTGCATTTCCTTGTCCTTCGCCTCCTGAGACCTGAGTTCCTGTGAATACTGCAGGGAAGTAAGTCTTAGGAAAGGCAGGGGTTGGGCACAGCACTACAGCCACGCCTTGTTGTCCCTCAGGGTTCCAGGTGTGCGACATCCAGCCCAGAACCACATTTCAGTCATCACAGGCCGCCTATGTGACACCTTGTAAGACAGGGATGAAAATCCCAGTCTGCAGCCAGCAGGTGGCCGCCAGGGTCAGCACAGGCTGCACGCAATGCGGGCAGTGTGCAAGATACACAAACCCACACCCTGCCACACCTGTCGAAGGACAGCGCAGAACAGCACGCCGGGCCCTGAACAGGACAGCACACAAGATAAGGACTGCAAAGGGCTGTGGGCCGGCTTCCACACTCTCCATGCTGCACTTGATCGTCACGCAGGGTGACCTCCGTAAGACCTGGTCACAGTAGAAAGGTGTCTGCTACTGGACAGCTACTGGGGGTGTCACTGCCTGTTGTTTTGCTCTGCAGGGTCAGAGAGGACAAAATCTCCTGATAACAGGGCCAGTACAGGGCCCACCCAGTGATTTACCTGAAGCAAAATGAAAGGGATGAGGGACTTTGACCACAGAAAATGTTGCTGCTCCATAAAAGAGGCAATCAGACAAGGAAGCCAGCATTTGGAGTTTCAAAATGAATTTATTCTGGTAAGGGACTTCGCCAGTTACTTTGCTCAAAATCCTCCACTCCTTTGAGCATGCTCATCCCATCGTCCTTGCCGCTCCTGCAGCAGCTCTGGAGTCCTCTTTCCTGAGAGTCTTGATTTGTGCTGCCCTGGCTTCCCCTGTGTCGTGTCCTGAGCCAATTCAAAATCTTTCCCTTTCAGGGTCATGTTGACTTTGGAGGGCAGCCAGTCACTCAGTGCCAGACTAGTGACAAAGGGGCATGTGGTCAAGCCATCGTGTTTTTACGAGCCTGTCTTTCCCTCAGGTGGCACTTGGGGCAGCATTCAATGTGTTTCTGATTACACCTGACACCGACCCTCAGGAAAGAGGACTCCAGAGCTACTCCAAAAAGTGGCAAGAACTTGAGACAAATGTGTTCAAAGTGAGGTGGGGGATTCTGAGAGTTTGCTGGCCTTGTGCCTCTCACTGTGATAAACTCTTTGCTATTTAAACAGTCACTGTATTCCTTGATCACACCATGTGTGTGTTGTGTGTGTGTGTTGTGTGTGTGTGTGTGTGTGTGTGTGTGTGTGTGTGTGATGCTTGCAGGAAGACGGAATCACTAAACTGAATGCATCTCTCAGCAAACATCCCTGTTATTCAGTGGTGCCCTACTGTCCAGCGCCTGATTCCACTGGAGTGGACCCTGACTCAGGCCAGCATCATCAGGGAGCCTTGCAGGTAGATGTGACCCCAGTTTATATTAGGGCAGCAGCTTTATTTGATCCATGATGGAGCCAGGGCTTTCCGGGAAGTAAGGGTGTGGGTCCAACATCTAAGAAGCTTGAAAAATAGAACTCCCCAAACAAACAACAAGGTTTTCTGAGCCAAGCGTTCCACAGGTGTGGTCCTAGCAGATAAGGTAGGTCATAAAATTTTCTCCCCAGACTATAAATTTCAAGTTCACCTCAGGGCAAAGGGGAACCATCAGCAGATCCAGGGCAGAGAAACCATGGGACCAGATTGGATTTTAAAAAATGAATCCCCTTTGAGCACTTTGTAAGGAGATAAAGTAGGAAACAAGGACCGTGGTGTCAAGAGGCCTTTCCCACAGTAGCATGGAGAGACCTGCTTAGGCTTTAAGGTCACAGCTGACAGAAGCCAGTGGCTGAAGCCTCAGACAGGGAAGCACATCAAGGACAGCCAGGCTCCTTTGGAAGTCTCCCCTGGGTGAAAACCTGTGGGTGGGGATGCACTGGGAGCACAGGACAGGAAGGAACTGGACAGGACCAGGTGACCCCAGCCCTGAAGCTGAGTCCCAGGTGGGGATACACTCAGATCAGATGGACATTCAGCTGTGACAGCCACATGCAGGGCCAGGGCACACAGAGAAGAGACTCTCAAGACAGTCAAGAGAAGCGTGCACACCTGCCCCTACGCTGCCCAGAAGGCGAAGCTGGAGAAGGAATTTGCAGTGGAGCCCTAGGGGGGCCTAAAACTCTGGCTTCAAAGCCAAGGAAAAGGTGCTGTCAGCCCATAATCTCTGAGTTTAGGTATAAAAGTGTTTTTATTATTTAAACCTCTCACAGTACATGGCCAAGGTTAAACCTGGAAAACAGACAGTCTCATACATAAGAAAAACAATTTCTCCATAGCCTATCTCACCACAACAAAATTCCCACATTTTCTCTCGCTAGAATCACAATTACATGCCTCTGCCTATCCTAGAGCCGTCCTGCAGAAAACAGAAGATCTGAGCTGAGAAAGCACTGCCTTTGGTTTCGCTGCAGTGACTCATTCTTTCGTGTACCATGATGCACACTTTGTTTTTGAGAAAACAACACATTTGTTATTTTGAGGTTGAACCCAGGGGATGAACGTTTCCGGAGCCACATGGTAATGAATTATTTCCTTTCGGTAGGAAATTATTGTTACGGGAGGTATTTTTCTATTGGTATGTAAAATTACCTTTCTTAAACACCTAAACAACAAACATACGGTTTTACATTTGTACCGACAAGAACTCAAAGGAAAGAAGGTGGTGACTTTTCCCACTCATTCCTGTTCCACAGTCCCCCCCCCCCGCCAGGGTTCCCAGAAGCCACGCAGAGCAGCTGCTGCACCTGTGACTTGCCCAGGGTACCTGTCACCTCTTACTACCTTATCTGCTATCACACATATCCCCCTTCCCACCTGCTTCCAGCCTTGTTTATTTGATTCTACAGCAGGCATAAAATTAAGTGCTGGTTAGTGAGTCTGGCGTTTACAGAAGTGGACAGGACAGGCTCTGAGTCACTGTTGGCGCCCTGTTCAGCGCTGGGATTTAGAGGTCCAGGATTGTTTCCCCAGGGCCAGGTTCCAGGCGGGGAACAGGACTGGGGCTGATGTGGAAAGCGGCGTGACCCTCAAAGCAGAGCCAGTTTCTCAGCGGTGCCCACTGTTACCTCACACCCTGCAGAGAGCTCCCGCCTGCCAACCACTGAGGATGAGGAGCACTGACCCGTGCGCGTGTGTCCACCCAGGGCCAGGAGCTGCAGACTGGGGGAGGGAGGGTGGCTCAGCCTCAGGTGCAGTTTGGCTTGTGTAAGTGAAAACTCACCGATCCACTAAGTACTGAAATTGTACCTTGAAATACCAGTGGCAGAAATATGAGGTGTTATAAAAAATAGTAAATGCTTAAATTAAAAATAAATGTTGTCTTGAATTCCCCACAAAATCCTCCTGTCACTCCAAGCACACTCGTCCCGTCGTCCCTGCCGCTTCCTGCAGCAGCTCTGGAGTCCTTGCATCATGCTGGCTGCCTTCACTTCCTGAGTGGATTCAAAACACGTGTCTTTCATGGTTGTTTTGACTTTGGGAAGAGCCAGACATTGCACGGTACCCTATCTGGTGACCAGGGAGGATGAGGACACAGAGCCCTGTTTTTATGAGCCTGCCTTTCCGCTGGGTGGCGCTCGGCAGCAGCATTTGTTGTGTTTTGATCTGTGGTGCACAGACCTTTAGGAAAGAGGACTCCAGAGCTGCTGCCAGAAGTGGGGAGAACCCCGGGGTGCGTGTGTTCAAAGTGAGGAGTGTGTGGAGGACTTACGGCCACACATCTTTCACTGCAACACTGTTTAATTTGAATGTTCACTGTATGTTTCCACCACAGCTCCTGTGTACCTTCTTATGTTTCAAAATTCCCCAGTTTGGAGTGAAACAGTGACCAGTCAGGGCTTTGGCTGAGATCTCTGCCGTGTCTCAGGCCGTGTTTCCCAGGCCTTGTCAGCCATAGACAGAGGCAATTAGGTGCCCTCAGCTGTGAGCAGGGGAATCAATTTCTACCACTTAACAGGCCCTGGTTGGCAAGGACGCCGAGACACAGCAGCATCCCTTGAGTGAATGAGCACGCGGTGTGTGCTGCTCTGAGCCAGGTATGCCTCGCTACGCTCCCTGGGGCAGATTATAAACATGGGACCCAGTCACTTTGCTCTGTGTCCTTCAACGAGGGACTTGACCAGCAGCTCCCAGAACCCCACGCCCTACATGCACCACCCAGAGCCCAGGGGTTCCATGGAATGACTGGCCAGTGCCACCCAGCACAAGGGAGGGCCAGGACCTGGTGCGGGAAGGTGAGGGGTAACTGCTCTCCAAGTGTCAAACATGCCAAGCGCATCTCTGAGGAACAGCGACGCCTCTGCGTTTTCCTAACACAATTCCAAGGAAACTGAGGTGTTACCCGCACACATGCACACACAGACGCACATGTGCACACAGGAGCTGCTCTTGGTTCAACTTGTCCTGATAACCACCTTGTAGACCCTGCTGTTCCTGGTTTCCCTCCCTCCCAGATGCCCAGGAGCCATCAGCAGGGTGGCAGACATCTGGCCTGCCAGAGCTTTTTGCCAGGGACGGCACCACTCTGTCCAGACAGGGAGAGCCAGTGGCTGTGTCCTGTGCCACATCCTGGACAGTACTTCCCCCAGCACCCAGCACTGTGGAGTACAGATGCCCGAAGGTCGCCAGTGCTTGGCAGGCCCTGGATCTCTCCTCAGAGGCCTCTGTCCCCTTCCGGGAAGAGAGACTCTGCACCCAGATCCTGCTCCAGATGCATAGTGTTGGTGACAGTGATAGTGGGCTTGCAAATGAGGAGAAAGCCTGCCTTGTTCTGCAGAGTGAGCCTGACTCCTGCAAAGCTGACGGAAGAGATCACAGCCAGGCCGGGCTCCCAATGAAACCCGCTGTAAGCCCCGGCTTTAACCCGAGTCCCAATCTCAGAGGTGGCAGGGCCCCAAGAAACACTAAATGTCAGGCAGGAATATTACAACCCACACCAAGCTCATTATAATGCAGGTGTGAGCCTGGCGGTTCAAAGGGCCTTCTCCTGGTTAACGAAGGAAAGGCGCCCAGTAGAAATTTATGTGCCGCATGGTTTCCATATTGGCCGCGCTCTGCGCAGCGCAGGTGATTCTGCTCCCCCTGATGAAATCTTCAAAGACTGGCTGGGCCCCACCACTAACAGATTTTTCCATACAAGACACC